AGACAAACAGACATAACTCTTAGAAGAAAATTCTTCAAAAAATATCGTCAAGCGTATTTTGAATGCGCACTACCACAACCTATCATCCACATTCCCAAGCATTGTTTTGCAACCGGAGCATCCCTCGTTCATGCAATTTTTTCACTAGTTGCATTTCCCTCGTTCTGTGTTGAATAAAAACAAAACAGATGGAAGTCAGCGATGTCGGTTCTACTAAATTTTCCGTAGATCTATAGAATTGATTGAATTCTGCAGAAATAAGGATCCGTAGGAAAAATTCACAGAAGCTAAAACTTTTTTTTTAGGGATTTCTTTTGTTTGTTCAGTGGCTTATTCTTTTGCTGGAAACAAGTTTTTAAACGAGGTAATGCATCACTAATTAGTGCCCTTTCTACCACTGCTCATCACTTTAATGCGTGTACAGCAAAAAAAATTAATATGTATCAATCAATGAAATTCATGGTGAAGTATTGAACATCAATAACTGATAAAAGGAGCAAAAGTTGATAGAATATTACAGCCATCAACATGATTTGTTCTCGAATTCTGTGTTAATAGTACAGCGTAATATTAGGAACGGAATGACTAATGTGCAGCACTTTTGATGTAATATTCAGCAACTTTTTTTTCTGTATTCGTCAGATGTGGTATGTGTCTCCAGTGGGATGCCTTGACCACTTATCATTTTCAAGAGCTGACATCTACTAACTAGACGTGAAAAAGAACTGGCATCACTGATAAGTTCGAAATTTGGTGGCTTGCTCAATGCTTCAGTGGCGCCACCATGATAAATGCAAGCACATTCCCAACTAAAACATTATTTGCGATTAATGTGATTGTGAGTGTTATGTCTGTTTGTCTGTGCTTAAACCATCTTCAGCTTCGCAAGTTGCTTCCTGACCAGAGTTTGAGATGAAACGGACTTCTTCGCGTATAAGGTTTCTAAGCTTCTCCAAATCTCCTTCGATGTTTCCTTGTCTGTCCTTCCCCTGGAACTTCGTCAATTCAGCTGCTACCGCCGGTGGATCCTCATTGATAGCATCAAGCAGATGTACAGACTTCATCTTTACCCTAAATCGCCGATTGTCTTATTCGGTGTCCGAGATCAGTGATATCCTGCGGACCGATTCCTTGCGCGAGTCGTGCATAACCTCTTGATATTTGTAGAATGATAATGCAGGGTTTAACGGATATAACAACTATATTCAACTAGCTTGATGGAGAGTTTTCGTTTTTAATACACTACACCGGTGTAGTGTAAGCAGCAATAAGCACGAGTCATTGACAGCTCATCATCATTTGTTTGTAAACAAAGGTGCAACCGATAGCTACACCCTGATTTTTTTCGGTGTACGGCGGTGTACCACCGGTGTAGCTACAATAGTTTGTTTATTTAGGAAAACTTCGGTTGCTACGTTGGTCAGTCGCTTACTGGGATACCGATTATTCCAACAATATGCTTATTTGTGACTCTGAGTTGCAGACGGCTATGCCATGAATGCCGCTGCTTTTCGAGAGTTTTCTGGGCTACGTGGTGTGAAAATCCGCCGATATTAATTGGGCAAATCACCCACGACGCAGCTAATAAATGTTCAACTTACCCGTGCAGCAGCTTGAATCCAAATGACCTTTCACCAACTGTCAGGAAAAGTTCAACTTACCCGTGCAGCAGCTTGAATCCAAATGACCTTTCACCAATTGTCAGGAAAAGTGTATGAAAAGTCATGACCTACCTAGTTATTATCCATCTCATATGTGGCTTCCGGTGAAAGTAGATACTGGTTGGCTGTGTGCAGTGAGCTTGGTCCCTCCTGAATCTGAAACTGCAGGATACGGGTATCGACGCTTGTCATATCTTCGGCCCGTTACTGGTCCATGGCGTGTTTCAGTTGATTGATGTCCGTTGCACTTTGATGGCAGCTTGGCCAGCAATGGCAAAGAAAGTGTTGAAGCCGGAATTGGATTCCACTATGTTAGTTAAGCAAAAGTCCTGCAGTTCTCCCGTTGATTGGGCGTGCGTTCTACAGTAGAACCAACAATTAATACGAAACTAACGATTTTAAATTGGCTCACTACTTGACTAGCCTATTGGTCCCAAGCAAATCGATTACGTACCCCATTCTAGTCAAAATTCTAGTACTACACTATGTTTGTTTTGATTCGCTATGAAAGTTTGACAGATAAAATGAGGGGTTAGTGGATTTTCCTATGTTTCGATGGGTGAATCGATTAGCTTGGGAACGAAGATAGTACCAGAGTTGAGCCAAAAAGTTGAGCACGTTTCTTCGGGACCTACAAGTCTTAGAGTTGCTTCTATGGTAGAACTCGGTCGAGGTGGAATCACCGATTTCGACGAATTGGAGCGCACTTTCCGGTTAGATTTCTCCAGGGATCATCGTGACCTATAAAGGGAGATTTCGGCTTTTTCCAGATCGACATCGCTGGCATTACAAACAAGAACTCTTAAGTGTTCGTTATACTGTTTCTTCTGTTGAGCACATTCCATTCTTCTGTTCCAGTCCCATAGCATCAACTTCGTCGGGTAAAATCTTTACGCCACATATTGCCAGTTCCAGGTTGAGTCCTTTATCGCCCATAAAACTAAATCGCTGACACATCGGTACCCAGAGGATCTCCCTAATTGAAGGAATTAACTGAATTAGCTGCCGATGTTTGCCAACCAAAATAAACTATCAAAATCTGAACCATTGCTACGCACATAACGAATATTTCACCAATAATCAGACTTGGTATAATTTTGGAGAAAATTTTCAATGTATAAATATTACTTAATTTAAAAAAAAATAGAATGAACGTTAACCTTTCTTTGTACAGTAATATTTTTGAGTGTACTAATACTAGCTACTAGCTAATAGAGATTTTCACGTCCGGTTGCATCTCCTAGGAAATCCGAGGAAAATACATAACTGTCAAGCTCATTTTGAAATATCTTATTTCATACATTTTTTAAGGTTAGCTAGACGAAAATAATAAACAACTTTACACGGAGATGCACCCGCTAATGTGCATGCGTTAAACGCCACTAATCCCTATAACCCCAGAGACGATGTTATATAAGAGACGCGCGGAGAGAATAAAAGTAAATCTGGTTGCACGGCCAACTAATTTCTTTTTCTAGAAGGTTTGGCAACCCGCAATTTTGTGTTTACTTCAAGTGACTTTTAATTTGAGTGACTGTCGTCTGCTTCAGTATCCCGGCAAAATGAATACTTTTTTAACTCGGTATTGGTAGTACATATCGCTATTCAATGGAAGTATTTGAAGACTCAATTTTTGACAACTCTGAGTGAAACTAAATAAACCACCATACAAATATACGCACTGTAGAATGTTGCACAAAATTATTCAATCTGCAATTGTAGCTTCCTATCATGTATGAGTGAAATCTCTTTTGAAAATTTACTATCTTGAAAAATTACACCGGAATCGCCTTGATCTTTGTTGCAGAGCCTGTGTAGGTAGATGTATTTTGTTGTGCTGGAGCAAATATTTAGTGAGAACATAACGAGAATACAGCTGGTGAATAACAATATTCCCTGTCTAATTTCACTTTTCATACGCAAACTTAATTATAATTATTTAAATCTCAACAGTTAACTCGCCTTAATAAAGACAACCAACCTTAAAAATTAAATTCAACCCCAATCTCAATACTTCCCATGCTTTTCTTCGTGAAGCGCTCGTGTTTATTTACATTGCTCGATAGGAACCGCGTTTGACGGTTCGATTGGAACTTTTGGCTTCAGTCTTCACGCGTCACTCATTTAACATCGTCTCTGTATAACCAAATATTCAAGAACCGTGGACCCCCGGTAATCTGACCGTTTTTAATCTGAACTCATTTTAGTGTGAACCCCGCTAATCTGCACGCCGTGCCAACTAAAAATTGCTCAAACGTCATTTAGCACATGGAATGGAGTAAAGTGAAATGGAACGATTCGAAAAGAAATGTAGAATCAAAACAAAGCTGCAAATAACATTACCAGAAACTCACTTTTCTGATGCTCATAGGGTTACTAGAAGTTCAAATTAAAAATGAACCCCGTTAATATTCATCAGATTAACGGGGTCCACGGTATTGAAGAAAAATCTTAACAACACTCTCTAACAAGGAAAAATCCCCAAGGCTTGGTAGCTGTCATAATGAAAGTTATGAATTTGATTGTTAGTATAAACCTTGAATCGACCTTATTTTCATCTAAAAAAAAACAACATGATTTCCATATTGTCATGAAAGCATCAGCAAATCTCAATAGGATGACGTCCGTGCAAAATTCTTTTGTCGGTAAAAATTGCGCTGCTTTCGCGCGATAATGTCAACAATTATCTTGACTTACGGCAATCCAATGCCAAACGGATAAACATCAAGATCGAAAAAAAAACAAATCAAATGACTGACTGACGTCGTTTAACTCGAATCAGCTCGATTTCAAACCACGGCAACAATACTGGAGCGTGATACACATTGATTCAATTACTGCCCTCCAAGTATTCCTCTGATATTAGTAATAAAACAATCTTATCGAAATTCCAACGAAAATTTTCCTTCTCTACACAAGTCCTCAAACTGTAATTTATCATCAATGTGAACAGCTCTCGTCATAATTACGTGTTGCAAATAAGGGAACTCTTCCACTTCATTCAAACATGTGTCAACACCGACGTATGCTAATCAATCACAGACACTCGCTATTCGATGTTCAACTCAAGAAGGTCGAAATTATCTCACCGAGTACGAGAAAAAAAAAACAGTACATTCCTCAATTTAAGGGTAGGATTCCCATCAATTATGAGTGAACTGTGAGAAGTGGCACCATCGCGATTTTCTAGAAGTATTTCGACGGAAAACGCGCATTTATAAGTTCTGATGTGACACTCAGGATTCTAGCCAATCAGTTTCTACGGTTTGAGAGTGGTTATTGCAATAGGTTCGACAAGCAGTTAATCGTGTCCCTCTTGTGTAGAGCTTAGTCATACGACTTCATAAAAGCCCGTTCCCGTGTCCCCAGAAGTAGGTACTCCGGTGCGCTTATCTTTGACATCTGTAATCCCTCAACACGGTCACTTTAATTATGATGGATTACTGGTCGAACCTGCGTCAATAAAAATCAAAGACCCAATACGGGTTTAGCTTCAATCGCGAATTGGCACCTGAACTTAGTAGGACATAAATTCTTGGATCGATCGGAACAAGCTGCTCCCTAGTGGACGATAATGATTGATTATGATCGGTAGTAATGTAAACGCAAATGTATTGCTAGTTTTGCTTGGACTGGCGCTAGTCAGGTGTGGGGCTGATACATGGCATTACCCCAAACCGGGCCCGGACGGAACCGTTGGACAGCCGGAACACTGGGGAGGTAACTGCGATACAGGTCGTCGTCAGTCTCCAATAGATGTGAACTACAAGGCAGCCGTTAAGGGTGTCTACCCGAAGTTCGTGTTCGTCAACTACGACCAACCGATGCTAAATGCTTCGTTAGTCAACAATGGTCATACAAGTGAGTTTCACGGTGGGTGAATTGTGAAAAAAAGAACCAGTTCAAAACGTTGCTCGTTTCAGTTCAAGTGAACGTCAATGATGTGTCAGCTTCCGTGTACGGAGGCGGTCTCCGCAGCAAGTACATCCTGGAGCAGTTCCACTTCCACTGGAGTTCGGAACACACGGTGGTCGATCAACGCTACGCACTGGAAGTACACATGGTGCATCGCAATTCCAAATACAGCACATTAGCTGAAGCATCCGCCGAGAAGGCAGGAATCGCCGTGCTAGCCGTGTTGTTTCACGTAGATGAGCAGCCAAACGAAGCGATCAAAACCATCCTGGACGTCACCGCTTCGGTTAAGGATAAGGTCGACGATTATGTGCGCCTGACTGGAAACATCCTCCTGGACAACTTCCTACCAAAGGACCGAACCGAATATTTCCGCTACGAAGGATCGCTTACCACTCCGTTATGCGCCGAAGCGGTCGTGTGGACGGTTTTTCCCGAATCCCTTCCAGTCTCGCTGGCCCAGCTGGAGGAGTTTAAAACCATACGGGATGGGGAAAACGAGGCACTTGTTGTCAACTACCGACCGGTGCAACCGTTGAATGCCCGCGTCCTGATTTGGGTTGCCGATACGGAGCGCACCGTCGACAGCGGTACGGTTCGGGTAAGCTCCATTCATGCACTCACAGCTATCAGCAGCCTGCTGCTGTCAATTGTGATAGGTTATTTTAGGTTGTAGATCGGGACGCTAGGGTTCCTTAAAATAGAGACTGATAAACTGATTGGTTAAGATAAAGATATTCGAAACAGCGTGTTATTTACTTTCATCCGATACCATAGGTTCGCCACGCTTCTCCTGCTGCCGCCATCACAACCGACATGTGAACGTTGGCCGACGGGGCAATTAAGTCATAAACGGCACCAAAGTGTATCGATAGGGGCCTCACATCGTCGTTGACCGTTTGAGGTGGGTTGTAAAGTGGTAGTGATTGCATGCACGCAGTTATGATGACTGTCAGTTTAAGGTAAATTCCACAAGATTTTGAAGACGATGCACAGTTTGTGACGCACTGTCTGCAGTCGATTACCGAATGAGGGAAGTACCTACCTAGTCTACCCATCTTCTGTTTTGAAATTGTGACAGACTCTTATCTTTGGATTATATACGACGAAAGTTTCCAATAACCGGCGCTGATTATAGCAAGTCAGGTAGCTATCAGCTAAATCCTTAATCCTATTATTAGAGCAAAACCTTCTCTTTATGATTGATATGGCAATTGAAAACAATTAAAACGAGTGGCCACTTAATCTCGCACCGATACATGTGATGGATGAATTTTCAGTTTTGGTGCGTTGCAGAAAGTTTCTTCGAGCCAGCTGATAATTCATCCATAATAACAATAGGATCTTGCATTGAATGTTGACGAAGACAACATATCTAAAAGGTTGGCAACTCTACCATTTTCTCATACGACCGGTATAAGACAGGCGCAATTGGGTCATCTGCCGCTCAAAGTAAAATGCTCGCTTTCATCTTTGCTCGAGCTCAGCGCTACTGTATCTGCCGCTTGGATTCTGGCATGTTCTTGATATGTTGTCTTCAATGTTGGCTAAGTTTGGAAATGCAAAGTGCACGTCTCTACTGTTGTGGATTCCTTTGTTAGAAGAAAGATAAGCATAGTGCAGAAAACGTGTTGCTGGAGGGTAAACATCGAGCCTCCTAATCAGAGCTACTGTAGGTCGTTTACATGGTTTTGTCTACAGTTTACAACCTTAGTGCCACTGACCATTGTTGTGGAGCACGTAAAAGAATTATATACCAACAGATAGCAGTGTATAGCGAGGTGTACAGAACGAGTTCATTAATCCAACATTCTCATAAAAAAACCCCATGGCATATGAGCAACAAAAGTTAAATTTAAAATATCATTGAAGAACATTGGGGGGTTGGGTTCTGAACTCATATACCTCTCAGCTAGCCAGCGTTCGCTGATCGTCTTTCCACTAAGACTACAGGCTCTGTCAGTATTTGTATTATAGTCACTCACTCTAGTCTTCAATGCTGGATCACCCGGAGGTTTTTCCGGTTTCGGTAGCAATAGCAATTTCTGTATCTTTCATCTGTGACCTTCATCTAGACCTTTCTGCATCACCTCCCTGAAAAGGTCCGCGAACGCCTGGATCGCTATTTTCAAAGCCACGTTGGAAATTCCATTCGAACCGGGTGCTTTCTTCACCTTCAATCCTTTCGCCACTGCTACGATTTCCTCATTCTTCTTCTTCCTCGCATTTCAAGCTTATCGCTTATTGCGTGCTCTCAACTTAGTGTTCTATAGATGCACTTCTACAGTTATTAATTGAGAGCTTTCGATGACTCTACCATTGTTGCATTAGTATAATTGTGTGGCAAGCAGTGCTGATAAAAATCATTTCTTCTACACTCAACTTCCTCAACATAGCTGAAAATGAAGACAACCTTAACAGATAGACCAACTACTTGCATGAATCTGAATTTTGACATAACCAAAGAGCCTAAATTCTCTTGATCAAGGCAACCTGTGGCTGGATGTTCATTATCGCCTTTGTTGTTGTCAATATTAATATTCATAGTCATCTTGATGGGGATGATTTTGAGGATCAAATGCAAAATGATTATTTTCATTTTACACCAACATAGCGCTGAAGGACGCGTCGTGTAAGTTTTTACACACAAGCCGATGACCAATTATTGCCTCATGCTGAATTGATGGTAAAATCCCGGTTTTAGGTTTTGGAGTCAACAATATTCAAAATATTCATTTTGCCCAATATGAATTTGATTATTTTGCTTTTGAGGATCATTTCTGATTTTGACAATTTTGGGTTGGATAATCAAGCAGTGGAGAATATCAACAAACGCGTATTCGTTGATGTATAATGAACTCATTTGTTCATTTCGCTCGTACCAACTGAGCTAAGGGAGGCCCCCAACGATTTCCTTATTGGAGACGGGAACAGTCGTTCAATATCAGGGTTGCTTCAACTCAGATGTTTTTGGGAATTATGAAATCATGAAATAGTATAATCATAGAGGTAACTCTAAGACCAGAAGGTCCCGAAGAAACGAGCTCAACTTTTTGGCTCAGCTCTGGTACTATCTTCGGTCCCAAGCTAATCGATTCACCCCTCGAAACATAGGAAAATCCACTAACCCCTCGTTTTATCTGTCAAACTTTCATAGCGAATCAAAACAAACATTGTGTAGTAGTAGAATTTCGACTAGAATGGGGTAAGTTAATCGTTTGCTTGGGACCAATAGGCTAGTCAAGTAGTGAGCCAATTTAAAATCGATAGTTTCGTATTGATTGTTGGTATAATGCCCATTAGTACTTGTAAGTTACAAGAAGAGGTCATGAAGTATATGTTTGACGCATAAAATCTGTCAATATTGCTTCCAGTGCGTCACAATCAGCGATTTTACGACTCGTAAGCGCTCACTAAGAGTGAACGCTCACGAATCATAAGATCGCCGATTGTGACGCCCTGGAAGCGAAATTGACAGATTTTATGTGTCTTACACATACTTTACACCCTCTTCCTGTTACTTAAAAGTACAACATACCATTATAACATCTACTGATTGCACAATTCCAAAAAACATCTTTTTATAGCTAGTGAGTGGAAGCAACCCTGCTCAATATTAACCTTTGACTTGTTTGGGCACATTTCAAAGGGTGTCGTTGAGCCAACGATTGGCCACGGAGAGCTCCGATAAAATAAACCTTATCGAAAGCCTTCGTATTCTAATTTCACTCGCTTGTTCTCGTTCTTCACATTGTCACGGGTGCCCATTGACCTATGGATGTACCCCTCGCACACTCTCTACGAGGGGTAGTCTTCAGACAGCACAGTGGCCACCAATTGATGAAAATCTGGGTATAACTAGTTTGGAGTGAATTGTTTACATGTGCAAAATTTCATAACAATCGGTTCAGTGGTTATTGAGATGTCATCGAAACAAGAAAAAAATCGAGAATTTTGCGCGCCGTCATGGAAAATCCGACTGTGACCATGAGATGGATCGGAAGACAACTGGGAATCACCCATACAACCATAGACCAGAAGGTCCCGAAGAAACAAGCTCAACTTTTTGGCTCAGCTCTGGTACTATCTTCGGTCCCAAGCTAATCGATTCACCCCTCGAAAGATAGGAAAATTCACTAACCCCTCATTTTATCTGTCATAGCGAATCAAAATATATAAAATTTCATAGCGAATCAAAACAAACATAGTGTAGTACCAACAATCAATACGAAACTAACGATTTTAAATTGGCTCACCTTGCCTATTGGTCCCAAGCAAACGATTAACGTACCCCATTCTAGTCGAAATTCTAGTACTACGCAATGTTTGTTTTGATTCGCTATGAAAGTTTGATAGATAAAATGAGGGGTTATTGGTTTTTCCTATGTTTCGAGGGGTGAATCGATTAGCTTGGGACCGAAGAGAGTACCAGAGCTGAGCCAAAAAGTTGAGCACGTTATTTCGGGACCTTCTAGTCTTAGAGTTACCTCTATGGTAGTACTGGAATTTATACTATGATGGGGTACGTTAGTCGATTTGCTTGGGACCAATAGGCTAGTCAAGTAGTGAGCCAATTTAAAATCGTTAGTTTCGTCTTGATTGTTGATACAACTGTGTCTCGGGTGGTAAAATCGTTTAAAGAGTCCCAGATGACCGAGCGGCGGGCTGGAAGTGGAAGAAAATTGAGGACAACTGATCCTATGAAGGCCCGGAAGGTATTGGATTATTTCAAGCGTAATCCGAACCTTTCGATTCGCGACGCGACTCTGAAGGCAAAGTGTTCCGCCTGGTTCGTTCAGCAAACCATGAAACGAGCTGGGCTTCGTGTATTCAAGGTCCGGAAGGCACCGAACCGGCGTGATCAACAAAACACGGCGACCAAATCCCGCGCAAGGAAGCTGTATCGAGAGTGGTTAACGAAACCGATGTGTGTGGTTATGGATGACGAAACCTACATCAAGTCAGACGCAAATCAAATACCGGGGCTGGAGTTCTACGTTCCCAAATCACGGTTTGATGTTCCGGAAGACATAAGGAAGAAGAAAGTGGACAAATTCGCCAAAACATACTTGCCCTGGCAGGTCATATGCCAATGCGGTAAACTGAGTAAACCGTACATCACAATGGGTACCATCAACAGCGAAATTTACCGCACCGAGTGCCTCCAGAAGCGTATGTTGCCCTTCCTGCAGTCCCACGGAGGCGAGACATTATTTTGGCCGGACCTGGCATCATGCCATTACGCGCGATCGACATTGGATTGGTACAGAGACAATAACGTTGTTTTTGTACCAAAAACCGCCAACCCCCCAAATTCACCAGAGATTCGTTCGGTGGAAAGATTTTGGGCCATAATAATAAGGCCCAAGCTCGAAAATCGTCCAAGGTGTTTAAGAACGAGCTGGAGTTGAAGAAAGAATGGATGAAAGTGACCAAAAAGGTTTGCTCCACCATTGCACAAAATGTAATGAGGGGTGTTAAGGGAAAGGTGCGGGCTTTCAGTGATGGAAAGGAAATTGAATAAAGTAATTATGCCGAAACATAATCCATATGTATTAGTTCATTCCCTGAAAGTTTCAAGAAAATCCGACTTAAAATAAATTTTTGGCGAACACTTTTGTCTGGTGCATTTTTTTTCGAGTACAGGCCTTATGTATACAGATTTTTATCATAATTTTGATACAAATATCTGTATATATGTACATATTACAGAATTCAAGCTGAACATTGCATT